AGCGGGAGGGCAGCGGGGGCGGGGCAGATGGGGAGGGGGCTGTTGTGCCCAGGGCACACAGCAGGAGGGCAGCCGGGGCGGGGCAGATGGGGAGGGGGCAGGTGTGCCCAGGGCACACAGCAGGAGGGCAGCCGGGGCGGGGCAGATGGGGAGGGGGCAGGTGTGCCCAGGGCACACAGCAGGAGGGCAGCCGGGGCGGGGCAGATGGGGAGGGGGCAGGTGTGCCCAGGGCACACAGCAGGAGGGCAGCCGGGGCGGGGCAGATGGGGAGGGGGCAGGTGTGCCCAGGGCACACAGCAGGAGGGCAGCCGGGGCGGGGCAGATGGGGAGGGGGCAGGTGTGCCCAGGGCACACAGCAGGAGGGCAGCCGGGGCGGGGCAGATGGGGAGGGGGCAGGTGTGCCCAGGGCACACAGCAGGAGGGCAGCCGGGGCGGGGCAGATGGGGAGGGGGCAGGTGTGCCCAGGGCACACAGCAGGAGGGCAGCCGGGGCGGGGCAGATGGGGAGGGGGCAGGTGTGCCCAGGGCACACAGCAGGAGGGCAGCCGGGGCGGGGCAGATGGGGAGGGGGCAGGTGTGCCCAGGGCACACAGCAGGAGGGCAGCCGGGGCGGGGCAGATGGGGAGGGGGCAGGTGTGCCCAGGGCACACAGCAGGAGGGCAGCCGGGGCGGGGCAGATGGGGAGGGGGCAGGTGTGCCCAGGGCACACAGCAGGAGGGCAGCCGGGGCGGGGCAGATGGGGAGGGGGCAGGTGTGCCCAGGGCACACAGCAGGAGGGCAGCCGGGGCGGGGCAGATGGGGAGGGGGCAGGTGTGCCCAGGGCACACAGCAGGAGGGCAGCCGGGGCGGGGCAGATGGGGAGGGGGCAGGTGTGCCCAGGGCACACAGCAGGAGGGCAGCCGGGGCGGGGCAGATGGGGAGGGGGCAGGTGTGCCCAGGGCACACAGCAGGAGGGCAGCCGGGGCGGGGCAGATGGGGAGGGGGCAGGTGTGCCCAGGGCACACAGCAGGAGGGCAGCCGGGGCGGGGCAGATGGGGAGGGGGCAGGTGTGCCCAGGGCACACAGCAGGAGGGCAGCCGGGGCGGGGCAGATGGGGAGGGGGCAGGTGTGCCCAGGGCACACAGCAGGAGGGCAGCCGGGGCGGGGCAGATGGGGAGGGGGCAGGTGTGCCCAGGGCACACAGCAGGAGGGCAGCCGGGGCGGGGCAGATGGGGAGGGGGCAGGTGTGCCCAGGGCACACAGCAGGAGGGCAGCCGGGGCGGGGCAGATGGGGAGGGGGCAGGTGTGCCCAGGGCACACAGCAGGAGGGCAGCCGGGGCGGGGCAGATGGGGAGGGGGCAGGTGTGCCCAGGGCACACAGCAGGAGGGCAGCCGGGGCGGGGCAGATGGGGAGGGGGCAGGTGTGCCCAGGGCACACAGCAGGAGGGCAGCCGGGGCGGGGCAGATGGGGAGGGGGCAGGTGTGCCCAGGGCACACAGCAGGAGGGCAGCCGGGGCGGGGCAGATGGGGAGGGGGCAGGTGTGCCCAGGGCACACAGCAGGAGGGCAGCCGGGGCGGGGCAGATGGGGAGGGGGCAGGTGTGCCCAGGGCACACAGCAGGAGGGCAGCCGGGGCGGGGCAGATGGGGAGGGGGCAGGTGTGCCCAGGGCACACAGCAGGAGGGCAGCCGGGGCGGGGCAGATGGGGAGGGGGCAGGTGTGCCCAGGGCACACAGCAGGAGGGCAGCCGGGGCGGGGCAGATGGGGAGGGGGCAGGTGTGCCCAGGGCACACAGCAGGAGGGCAGCCGGGGCGGGGCAGATGGGGAGGGGGCAGGTGTGCCCAGGGCACACAGCAGGAGGGCAGCCGGGGCGGGGCAGATGGGGAGGGGGCAGGTGTGCCCAGGGCACACAGCAGGAGGGCAGCCGGGGCGGGGCAGATGGGGAGGGGGCAGGTGTGCCCAGGGCACACAGCAGGAGGGCAGCCGGGGCGGGGCAGATGGGGAGGGGGCAGGTGTGCCCAGGGCACACAGCAGGAGGGCAGCCGGGGCGGGGCAGATGGGGAGGGGGCAGGTGTGCCCAGGGCACACAGCAGGAGGGCAGCCGGGGCGGGGCAGATGGGGAGGGGGCAGGTGTGCCCAGGGCACACAGCAGGAGGGCAGCCGGGGCGGGGCAGATGGGGAGGGGGCAGGTGTGCCCAGGGCACACAGCAGGAGGGCAGCCGGGGCGGGGCAGATGGGGAGGGGGCAGGTGTGCCCAGGGCACACAGCAGGAGGGCAGCCGGGGCGGGGCAGATGGGGAGGGGGCAGGTGTGCCCAGGGCACACAGCAGGAGGGCAGCCGGGGCGGGGCAGATGGGGAGGGGGCAGGTGTGCCCAGGGCACACAGCAGGAGGGCAGCCGGGGCGGGGCAGATGGGGAGGGGGCAGGTGTGCCCAGGGCACACAGCAGGAGGGCAGCCGGGGCGGGGCAGATGGGGAGGGGGCAGGTGTGCCCAGGGCACACAGCAGGAGGGCAGCCGGGGCGGGGCAGATGGGGAGGGGGCAGGTGTGCCCAGGGCACACAGCAGGAGGGCAGCCGGGGCGGGGCAGATGGGGAGGGGGCAGGTGTGCCCAGGGCACACAGCAGGAGGGCAGCCGGGGCGGGGCAGATGGGGAGGGGGCAGGTGTGCCCAGGGCACACAGCAGGAGGGCAGCCGGGGCGGGGCAGATGGGGAGGGGGCAGGTGTGCCCAGGGCACACAGCAGGAGGGCAGCCGGGGCGGGGCAGATGGGGAGGGGGCAGGTGTGCCCAGGGCACACAGCAGGAGGGCAGCCGGGGCGGGGCAGATGGGGAGGGGGCAGGTGTGCCCAGGGCACACAGCAGGAGGGCAGCCGGGGCGGGGCAGATGGGGAGGGGGCAGGTGTGCCCAGGGCACACAGCAGGAGGGCAGCCGGGGCGGGGCAGATGGGGAGGGGGCAGGTGTGCCCAGGGCACACAGCAGGAGGGCAGCCGGGGCGGGGCAGATGGGGAGGGGGCAGGTGTGCCCAGGGCACACAGCAGGAGGGCAGCCGGGGCGGGGCAGATGGGGAGGGGGCAGGTGTGCCCAGGGCACACAGCAGGAGGGCAGCCGGGGCGGGGCAGATGGGGAGGGGGCAGGTGTGCCCAGGGCACACAGCAGGAGGGCAGCCGGGGCGGGGCAGATGGGGAGGGGGCAGGTGTGCCCAGGGCACACAGCAGGAGGGCAGCCGGGGCGGGGCAGATGGGGAGGGGGCAGGTGTGCCCAGGGCACACAGCAGGAGGGCAGCCGGGGCGGGGCAGATGGGGAGGGGGCAGGTGTGCCCAGGGCACACAGCAGGAGGGCAGCCGGGGCGGGGCAGATGGGGAGGGGGCAGGTGTGCCCAGGGCACACAGCAGGAGGGCAGCCGGGGCGGGGCAGATGGGGAGGGGGCAGGTGTGCCCAGGGCACACAGCAGGAGGGCAGCCGGGGCGGGGCAGATGGGGAGGGGGCAGGTGTGCCCAGGGCACACAGCAGGAGGGCAGCCGGGGCGGGGCAGATGGGGAGGGGGCAGGTGTGCCCAGGGCACACAGCAGGAGGGCAGCCGGGGCGGGGCAGATGGGGAGGGGGCAGGTGTGCCCAGGGCACACAGCAGGAGGGCAGCCGGGGCGGGGCAGATGGGGAGGGGGCAGGTGTGCCCAGGGCACACAGCAGGAGGGCAGCCGGGGCGGGGCAGATGGGGAGGGGGCAGGTGTGCCCAGGGCACACAGCAGGAGGGCAGCCGGGGCGGGGCAGATGGGGAGGGGGCAGGTGTGCCCAGGGCACGCACCTGGCTGGCTGTGGTTGGAGCCCTGGGGGCAGCTGGTCCAGGGCAGAGGGGAGTAGAAGGAGTTTACGAGGTAGTAGATACTCCAGGCGATGATCACGTTCTCAGTTCATCGACTGGACGATTACATCCCCCGTGGGGACAGGCCAGAGCTGGGGGCCCAGGGAGCTGAGGCGCAGCCAGGGCTGGGGGAGGATGGTGCCCCCCAGTGGCAGGCAGGGGCCAGGCCCAGCACGCACCTGGCTGGCTGTGGTTGGAGCCCTGGGGGCAGCTGGTCCAGGGCAGAGGGGAGTAGAAGGAGTTTACGAGGTAGAAGATACTCCAGGCGATGATCACGTTGTAGTAGAGAGAAACAAACCCGCAGACCTGACATGGAAACAGGGGTGAGCCTGGCTGTGCACCCAGGGACCCATTGCCGGGCTAAGGCAGGGCACCTGGGAGGGGGGCCTGGGGACAGGATGCCGGGGGGGGCGGCACCCAGGGACCCTTTGCCAGGCTAAGGCAGGGAGGTAGAAGATACTCCAGGCGATGATCACGTTGTAGTAGAGAGAAACAAACCCGCAGACCTGACATGGAAACAGGGGTGAGCCTGGCTGTGCACCCAGGGACCCATTGCCGGGCTAAGGCAGGGCACCTGGGAGGGGGGCCTGGGGACAGGATGCCGGGGGGGGCGGCACCCAGGGACCCTTTGCCAGGCTAAGGCAGGGAACCTGAGAAGGTTTGACAAAGCAGGGATTTTATTCACCTTGTTATGCTGCATGTGAGTTCTACTCTCCTACAGTCACCCCAGTGTGCCTCAGTTTCCCTGGGCCCCGCACCACTATCTAGACAGTGATGGGACTTTCTGGTGTGATCTCATTTCTCCCACACGCCCTTTGTAAGCTGAGCCCAAGAGGGGGTGCCTCCCAGTCACATTTCCTGGCCACATGGCTAGCGCCCTGTCGACAGACAGAGCAAAGCACTGTGGGTAAGCAGCCCGCAGGGCAGCATGGTGGCAAGGTGGAGCTGATCCCTGCTTCTTGGGATTCCCTCGTAGCTCTGGGAGCACTCTGTACTGAAGAATGTCAAAGCGGCAATGCAGCTGGTGTCCACCCCCCTGCAGCAGCAGCCTGGCAGCCACCGTGCTCCTAGCAGGGCAGGGCAGGAGCGCTCCAATGAATTGCTCTTTGTTCCCCAAACCGAGCAGCTCACTCAGCTGCCAGACACTTCCTGGAGCTTTGAAAGCGAAGGGGTGCAGGCCTGCAGAGATCACAAAACACTGGGCACAGCCACTAGGGCAGGCATTGTGGGATACTAGCGGAAGCCAGTTCTCTGGACAAAGCAAACAGCAGAGTCCAATAAAAGGAGGGGAAAGAGAAAGTCTCTCACGGGGCTGGTAGTTTTTTGTTGCCAAAACTGGGTGTTTTTTCCGACAGAAGTCGCAGGGCAGCGTGAACGCTCTCACTGTTGTTGCCAATAGGCAGTTTTTGGCAACAAAACGTCACAGCATAGACAAGGCCTAATAAACCTTCTGTTCTCTCTGCTGGCTGGGAATCACATCTAGCTGCGGATGGTGGTGCTGGGCCCAGTGACTTCCCCACACTTCAGTGACACTGGTGGCAGCGGTGGGATGTGCTGCACCCGTGGACAGAGCATCTGGCAGTGAGTGACCAGGGCACAGTAGGAAGAAGGGGGACTAAGAAGAGCCAGGCGCGCTAAAGGCCAGTGAGGGGTGGTTCTAGGACGCAGAGGGGCGTATGGCTTAACCCCAAAGAATGTGGATCCCCGAGAAGGGGTCCCTCCTGGGGACCGTGGGACATGGTCCCAGGAGTCGGAGGGGCTGGGACCTCAAGGAGGCTGGCACACTGAAGGGGCTCTCCCTGGGAATCATGGGGCCCTGCGAGTCCGTGACCCCTTGGGGACAGCAGGGAGCTGGCCTAGACCCATGTCTGTGAGAAGGACGTTGTGGAGAGGGCTGTGCATTGGATGCTGTTCAAGGCCTGGCTGGCACGGAACCATCGCTCTGCGGGGCTGGGTCTCGTCCCTGAGCTCCCACCCGACTGAGGATGTGGGGGGCTGAAGTGTGGATGTTAACTAACGATTAATTTACTAGTCGAGTAGTCGATGGAATTTCCATCAACTACTCGAGGAGCAGATAGGCACTTCTGCTGGGGCTCATGTGCATTTCAAAGGAGGAATGCAGAACTGGGACAGTCCCGCTGACTCCAGGCTGCAGGCGGAAGCCTGCTTTGAAATGCTAGGGACTCTTGTGCATTTCAAAGCAGAAACGCCCTCATGGAGCCTGGGGCAAGCAGGGGACTCAGAGTCCCTGGCTGACCCCAGGCTCCACGCTGCGCTGCCGCTTTGAAATACCACACGGAGCCCGGGATCAACTGCCGCTTTGAAGTACCCCCTCTTCCCCCCCCACCCCCTTGGGGAATTGACTAGTGGACTGGACTATCCGATAAGCATTTGCTTATCTGATAGTCGACTAGTCCTTATCTTTAGGCTGATGGCAGCCAGACAAACCTATGGACCACTAGGAGCGACTCACAAGCAGGGGCTTGTCACGGGTGGAGCTGGAGCAGCTATACGAATGCTCCCCCCTTGTCTGAGGATGGGGCTGATAGACAACAAGCCGAGTGACCTGCACAGCGCAGGGCAGCTGGCTGACAAGTCTGGGGACAGCTGGTCTGGGGAAGCCCACCACAGTGCCCATGTTATAGCCAATGCCGCAGAGAGAGGGGTCTGAACTTCCCAGGGTCATGGCTAAAGTGACCCCGCTCAGTTTGGTGTCGAAGGGAGAGAGATGTGACCAAGTGGGGAGTTTAGTCACCTTGCTATGTTGCACGCGAGTTCTACTGTCCTATAGTACTCCCGTGTGTGTGCCTCAGTTTCCCTGGGCATTGCACCAATACTTACACCTGAAATTCCCTTCACTGTCTGATAGCCGACCGGGCTTTTGGGAGTGGGTCAGTCTTAGCTGGCTGGGGAGGCAGGGTCCTGCTCTGGGCTCCCCTGTCCCCATACTGGATTGTACTGACTGGAGGGCAGGGCCCAGTGACTCCAAGACTTCGGTGACGGAGGGCTAGAGACAAGGAGCTGGGACAGGGCACCCAGGGAGCTCTCACCTGGCTAAGGCAGGGAACCTGGGGGGAGCAGGGGACAGGGTGCCGGGGATGGGGCCCCAGGGGGACTTGGAGAGCCCTTGGCAGTACCAGGACAGGTACCCAATCCGCCGCTCACCACGCAGCTGGCGAAGCCGATGCCAACCAAGCGGGGGCTGAGGTGTTGCCAGACCCCGATGCTGCCCTGGCGCACACTCTGCCCCGCCGCCAGCTCCAGGAAGAACAGCGGGATGCCCACCACCAGCAGGAGCAGGAAGTAGAGGAGCAGGAAGGCTCCTGCAGGGAGGGGAAACTGTTACAGGCCTGAAGCTGCCCACAGAGACAGAGTCCTGATGTCCCCTAGAGCCCCCAGCCCACACCCAGCCCCCTCCATCAGCCCCAGGGCCTCCAGCCCCCTCAACCCCCCAGTTCCCCTGGAGCCACCGGCCCTCTCCAGCCTCCCAGCCAGAGTCCAACTGGCTTGTTGTCAGCAATAAGAGGAGGGGAAGTGTCTCTTGCAGAGCTGGAAGGTTTTTGTCACCAAAACAAGGTGTTTTTCCTGACCAAAGTCGCACTGCCGTGTGAACACGCTCACTGTTTGTCCCGTTTTGGGCGACAAAATGTGCCAGCGCCGAAGGCTTAATAACCCTTCTGTTCTCCCTGCTGACTGGGATTCACGTCTGGCTCAGGTGGGCCCGGTGACTCCCACACACTTCAGGGATGCTGGTGGCAGAGGGGGGTTGTGCTGCACCCCCTGAATGTCCCTTACAGCCCACAGCCCCCTGCCCACCCCTGGACTCCCAGCCCTCCACTCACCTCCCCCATTCTGGTGGCACAAGTAGGGGAAGCGCCAGATGTTCCCGAGTCCCACGGAGAAGCCAACCTGGGCCAGAATGTACTCAGCCTTGTTGCTCCAGGCTGGGCGGGCCGGAGGCTCCTCTGGCAGCCCCTCCTGGCTGGGCTCCTCAGCACTCAAAGCCTCCAGTTCTGGCTTCACCTTCTCCATGGTGGGAGGAGGCCGGGGCCACACACACGTGAACACACACTGGGGGACACGTGCACCCTAACGGGAACAGCTCATACCTGGACACTTGCTCGCACAGTGGAACACACACTGGGGGACACGTGCACCCTGACGGGAACAGCCCACACCTGGACACTTGCTCGCACAGTGGAACACACACTGGGGGACACGTGCACCCTGACGGGAACAGCCCACACCTGGACACTTGCTCGCACACTGGAACACACACTGGGGGACACATGCACACTGATGGGAACAGCCCACACATGGACACTTGCTCGCACACTGGAACACACACTGGGGGACACGTGCACACTGATGGGAACAGCCCACACCTGGACACTTGCTCGCACACTGGAACACACACTGGGGGACACATGCACACTGATGGGAACAGCCCACACATGGACACTTGCTCGCACACTGGAACACACACTGGGGGACACGTGCACACTGATGGGAACAGCCCACACATGGACACTTGCTCGCACACTGGAACACACACTGGGGGACACATGCACACTGATGGGAACAGCCCACACATGGACACTTGCTCGCACACTGGAACACACACTGGGGGACACGTGCACACTGACAGGGGAACAGCCCACACCTGGACACTTGCTCGCACACTGGAACACACACTGGGGGACACGTGCACACTGACAGGGGAACAGCCCACACCTGGACACTTGCTCGCACACTGGAACACACACTGGGGGACACGTGCACACTGACAGGGGAACAGCCCACACCTGGACACTTGCTCGCACACTGGAACACACACTGGGGGACACGTGCACACTGACAGGGACCCCCCACCCCCCACCCCCGTCTCTCTCACTCACAGGCCCCCAGACCTCAAACAAAAATCTGCAAGAAAAAGACCCAAGAGACTGATCAGGCCAGGGGGACGCTCCTGTTCCCCCCGCACTCCTTGCAAGGTGGCCCCTCTGGGTGTGGCGTGGTACCCCTCACCCACTGCCAGGACTGGGGTCCCAGGCACCCTCAGCCCAGCCCAGAGCGCATCGGGTCCATTCACCCAGCCATGCCCAGCACCTAGAGCCCAGACCCCTCTGGGACCCCAATCCATAAAGGTTCCCACACGCCCAGATCACCCCCGTCAGACCAGCTGCAGGGTCTCTCCCCCCACCTCTCAGCAGCCCAGCACCTAGAGCCCAGACCCCTCTGGGACCCCAATCCATAAAGGTTCCCACACGCCCAGATCACCCCCGTCAGACCAGCTGCAGGGTCTCTCCCCCCACCTCTCAGCAGCGGTTTGGCCAGGACCAGACTCCCCTCCCGCCCCGGGGC